CACCAGTAAATTTCCTTCAGTGGCTAATCTCCCCTGTATGGACTTCATCTGCTAATTCAGGTTTCCCTCATCATACCACCTGACAAGAGGTTCTCTGCTTCCCTCTGCCCATTACATTATGGATATCCAGGATGTAAATACCAAGTCCACAATGTTGACCTTTTCTTATTTAGCTAGTTGTTTAAAATCACATGGAATGGTCTCCAAATTAACTTCACCTGCCAAATCCCCAGGCTTTAAAGAGTCAGAATACATTTCATAGATCAAGGATTCTCAAAGTGTGGTAAGGGTATCACTGGTATGAGAAAACTACAGTATCTCTGTACATTTATACAACCCAAATCAGTCACAAGCTTATCACTCCATGTACCTCTGTGTTCCTGATAATAACTCCTAGGATGACCCCAAAGCCCTCAGGTAACCCACAGAATTTAAAGGCAAGGACACATGCTCTACAGATATCTGGCTAGGTATAATCAGAGAGAGAAAAGAATTTGGGGTTAACACTGCATCATGTTACACCACACACACGTCTCCACACACAAAAAGCAAGAAGGCTGCAGAGAAAAGGATTGTTAGATAACGGAGAGTTCAATTGTTACATACATGAAACTAAATTTTCTCCAAAATTGCTTTTTAACCTAGCCTGCCATTTTATTCAAGAGAAGATAAGGAACAGCTGCCTCTGTGTAAAAGACAGTGTAGGAGACCCAGAGCTGTTACAGAGCTAAGTTACCTCTGATACTGCCACCACTGTAGTCAGATATGATTCCTCCTTAATCTTAGTGGTATTGAGCAAACTAAGATTGTTATCTATGGTTAGGGCACACAAAACAACAAGTTAAGGGCAGCAAGAACTGACATATTCCATTCAAAACAAAACAAACTGTGCAGTTACTGCTAATAGTGAGCTGTTTCACCACTCCACCTGCACAGTGCAAATCTACAAGTGCTGGCAGGTAGGAAGGGTTAAAGTCCACTTGGTCACTAACTAGTTTATGGTTGGTTTGTTTGTTGTTGGGGTTTTTGTTGTTTTGTTTGTTTGTTTTTAATATAACTAGTTTCTGCATACACCTCCATTGTCAGGAATCTCTTAGTAATGTTGGAAAGGGGAAAATAGAGTGCCATAAACAGAAAGATTTTGCTATTTTAAAAATAACTCAGTTGTTCCCCACAATGCTGCTTTGGATCACACTTTCCTGCAATTACAGGAAATCAGAGATAGTGCACAGAAGACATGGTGACAAGAGAGACAGAATTAAGTTCTGTCAATCTAGAAATATCAATCCAACTCGTTGAATATGAAGGTCTTGGTTATGGTCGTGTAGTGTACAACTATCATATTGGGCAGACAGTGGTGAAGCTGGTGACTACAGTGACAAGAGCTTGGGGCATGTATAGGGAGGTGATTGAGAAGACAACTACATTTGCAGAGAATATTACAACATAACTAAAATGCCAACATATATCCCTTTCTTAAAAGAGTGCATGGAAGCATTCACCCCTCCTTGATGAATGGATCAATAAACATCCTCTGTACCATCATCGATCATCCCACAGACAATACTGAGATGTTGACAGAAGAAAGAATAAAAGGGGAACAGGAGCATGGGGAAGGCAGAAAGAGACAATTCAGAAACAGCAGCTTGGTTAAATGCCAGCTGCAGTGACAAGAAAAGCAGAAAGCAACAGCAGGAGAATGGGCTAAGAACAGTCATGCCCTTCCGAGGACAAAATGACATTCTTTAATTGCTCAGGAGGTTTTCAAAATGAGGTGTCTGCCTCCAGCAGAGCAAAGATTAATCTTCATGGAACAGTTTGTATGATGAGTTATTCTATGTTGGGAAGTGCAATTTTAGGTGAAATAGTTGATAGAATCAAATCAGCATTTCAAGCAAACAAGGGGAGCTAAATGAGTTAAAATGATCCAGATTATTAAGCTGATGTCAGACCTTTCAAAACTCTATTATAGAGATATGTACCAGAAAAAAAAAACAACCACACAACAAAAAAAACCCAACCAAAAACAACTCATAATAGCTTCTTTGCTAGTTTTCCTTCAGGGAGAAGAGCATGACTCATCATTAACTGGCTTCCTTTTCCTGTTCAGATTTCTGTGAGATACTGGATTGGTTTTCAAATTATTCAGGGAGGTAAAAGTACTTTTAATCCTTGTGAGCAGGGAGTGAATAATAAGTGTGGCATTCTGGAATTAAGTTGTAGTTATTCTGTCAAAGCCTGGACATTTAACTCAAGTATTTTGCAAGTAACTAGTGAAACCTACATGTACTTGAATGCTGCAGTCATGCTGAAGGGAGCCAACCCTGCTGACAGTAACAGGCCTTGTAGAAACAGGGCCAAATACAAGTGCTCTTGTATTCTGCTAGTGCACAAAGTATTATCTGCATATAAATTTTTAATTCAGAATGACAAAATTTCAGTTAGTCACCTGCCATGGAAATTTATTTATTGGTTAAGGAAGGAAAGTCACTTTTTCTCCCTCAGCACTCCCTTCCTTCCCCTTCAGCCAAGTAACTTTTAGTGGCAATGCTGCATTAAATGATTTGCTGATGAGAACGTAGTAGGCACACTTAATTCATATAAGTATTTAGCATATGATAGAGCCAGGCAGGCAGCAATCCATAGATCTGCCACCAGAAAACCATTTAAAATGTATCCAATGTATTAGCTGTGTCAGAAATGCAATTAAAATGGCTATCTGCTCTCCTTAAAAGGAAGATTTATGTGATTTTTCCAGCTTTCTACCTCATAAAAAGTGAACTTGTGTAGTCCTGTAGTGTAACGTGCAGCTTGATGACTGGCTATGCCTCAGTTTCCAGAAGAGGTGCAAGCATCTTGCGGTAAGTCACAGGAAAACTGGGGTGTTAGTTCTGTGGTCAGTGAGCCACAGAAAATTTCCATGTTTTACTTCATGAAATTGAGGAAGCTGGCTAGAATATTTAAAACAGTTTGGTTTCTGACAGTTTAGAGAGGACTCTTCTTCTTGGTTCCTGCATGTAATTTCCTTCAGTTCTAATTACCATCACCCAGAAGTTCTCAAATCAAGATCAGGCTCCTGGAAACTACAGGTTGAACAATTCCAACAGGAGACACTTAAGCTGTATCTCCAGAGAAGTAGGCTGATGACCATCAGTGTATGGTGTAAGTTGTATGTTCTTACACAGGACGTTCCTAATAACTGCAAAGGGTAAGGTGAGGTATCTTTTCTGATTTATATCAGGTTGATGGGGATATTATTTGCTTTGCCATATTTTAATATAAAAACAGTAACACACAAGCATTACTGAGACAGCTAAAGGAGGACAGATTAAAAAAAACATCTGGGGAAAACACTTCAGTCCAGCTATCTTATATTATCAAGCTGGCCATGCAGCAACTTGAAAGAGAAGCAAAAGGGGTCTTACTGCAAATGGCCTGCCAATGCCTGAAAGCAATAATTTTAACTCTTGATGGACAAACATCTACTTTTTGAATGAAAACCTCTTAAGCACACATCCAGCAAGTGATCAAATGCATGTGTAATGTAAAACCAAATCTCAGAGGTTTTAGATCATTCTCTGGTATTTCTTTTATAACGTTATCATTATGTTTTTTGCAGGAGGCAAACAACATAAATACTCATTTACAACTGCAGTGATAACAGTGCAAAAAGTTGTATATTCTATGTCAGAACATGGCTCTTAAGGACTACACAATATATAATAAATACACACAAAGAAAATTTACATCCATAGTAATAATGGATGAGGATAGCTCTCCTCAGATGTGAAACCATAGGATGAACCATCAAATGAACCAGATTGTTTCTGACAGGGTTGGACAGGTGTGGGTTCAATATAGCTTGAAGTCTACTCAAGGTCGAAAAATTTAAACCTGAAGCAAATTCCTCTCCAGTGAGCCATAATCCTCATCTTATTAAAATTCTTCTCAGTCTAGAGATGAAGGCTTTGATTGCTTTAATTATGAACAAAATCCATTAACAGAAACAGGACCTATAGTAAGGTTTAAGCCATTTCAGTTCTTTCGTTGGAAGGCGAGCTGGTGAACCGGGAGAATAAGGAGGGGTAGAACTAGAGGAGTGAAATGGAAACAGTTTAACTATCTTCCAGCAGTAAGATAAGCAAACCAATTAAAAGGATTGTCATCCTGTAATTACCAGAGAGCTCTGTATTACAGAGGGAGCTGAAGCTTTGTTGCACAACAAACAGTCATGCTTGTAATTTAATATGAATAATGAGCCAGATGCATGAACAAGACTATTAAATTGTTATCACAAGCAGCCATGTCCCTCATTGATTAATGACTGTGTGTCACCAAGGAATGGAACTCCATTTTTAAGTATGGATCGTCATCATTAATGTTGCCAAAGCAACCGACTGTCTGCTTTTGGCTTACCCCTGAATGTGGCAATTAAACCATTATATCAGGAAACAAAACAATAATTATTCTCTTATGTGGAAAACTGAAGGCTGTTAAAGAATAAGGGACTGGGGAAGCCATACTTGTTTCCCAAGATAAATGCACCTATGCAAGATCCATGTTCAAGGTCGGGGTGCGTTCTCAATATAAAATTAATCATGGTCCCCCCCACTCAGTTTCAAGTTTGATGCTTATCATAAAATCTTTAATAGTTTCATACACTAGTAGAAAACCAGCAGGACCAATAGAAAGACATGAATAAACAAACAGCTGTGAAAAACACCTATTATTTTACAGTAAACAGGCATAGTTAAGTAAGAAAACTGGTGAATTCTCTATATATGCTTTTTATAAAAGAGTATTGACATATAGAAAATGTATGTGCATATACACCAATAGATGAATATATATGCTACATGACTCATCCAAAAATGCATGCTTAACCCTGTTTTGGTTTTGTTGTTTTGGTTGTTTGTTTGTTTGGGGTTCTTTTGGTAAATGTAAGATTTATACAGAATATTCTACCAAAAGCAGCTACAAGCTGGCTTCTTCCAACTTACAAGCTTCCCGGAGTTTTTCCTTGTCATAATGTAGCCCCTCATATTCTTGTAAATTAATCCTGTTCACTCTGATCCGCAGGCGATCTGGGATGGAATGAGGACTGTAAGAAAAGAAGAAAGCCTCTTAGACAAACTGTTGCATGGAAGAGCAAAATGAAAATGGGATATTAAGTTATTTTAATGTTCTCCAAAGCAAGAAAAAGAGCAAGCCTCTTTAAAACTGGGCCAACTTCTCACAGGCCCATCACTGCATTTAAGATTATGACTACCTACTGCACGCCAACATTGACCTTAGACCATAAATGACAAACAAGATCAAGAAGTCCACGTGCTGGCTGTGAGGTCTAGAATTACAGAGGGGTTTTTGAGTTCTCCAATCTCTATATAGTAGAGATTGGAGAACCAATCTCTATAGCCCTCCCCTCTGTAGTTCACCTTTTTGTACATCCCTACGACCCTACCACAGCCAGTAGATCTGACAAGCTGTATTTTGGGACACAGATGCTTTCTTGGGAAATGTGGCCAAGAAATGTATTTCCACAGTAGTGAGTTCAATACAATAAAGCCAGGAGGACTTTCAAAAGCAAGTAGCAGAAAAGGAACCTAATTTCCACAGATTTCAGCCAGTTTAATTTGACTTTATAAGTTTAGCTGAATGCAATGTAAATTCACTTGGCCACATTTGCATTTTCCACTTTTAAGGAAAGACAGATAAGCTGTGTATTATAATGCTTGTATCAACTGTCTGTCCTGTAAGAACTGGCCCGACTCAGTTAAAAGTAGATTTTTCATCTTGTGCTTCCACCAAAAGAATGTCTATTCTCTCTGTTTCAATCTAGTTAGTAACAGAACTTTGCCAGTGGTGTGACCATGGAATACACACAGTGCTTTTTTAAAAGTTGAAATCTTGTGCATTGCCATAAATATACTGGCTTACTTTTTAATTTGTCTCAATTTTAAGATATTTGACCCATAGCATCTGCATTGCTTGTTTAAACTCAGAAATCAGAAGCCGTCACATCTTAAAAATGTAAAGATTTTCTTCCAATATAAACAAGTGAGCAATTTTCTTTTTGACCTGAAAATACTGCAAGATCTGACAAAACACAGTTTGTGGTCACCTCTTGGTAGAGTCACTGAGATAGCAATTAGTTATTATTTCAGTGTTGGCTTATTGCATGCTTTCTCTCTGTTGGTATAAATAGCTTTGTTATATTTGAACAGATGAAAATAAGGATTGAAAATCAAGACCCAGTTAAAAAAAGCTTTATTGGCACAAGCACTCTGCCTAAAGAGTGATAAAGGGTAATGAATTGAGGGTGCCCCAAAAACTGCAGTGTAAGACAACGTGCTTTAAGGAGCTACACTGAAGAAATTCAAGTTCTGAGCAGGAGTTTCTGTATTAATGATGAAAATAAACCTAAGATACATGAACAATAGCTTAGAAGAAATCATAGATGCTTAAGGGTGGCAGCAAGACTGACACGCTTAGAAACATATAGGCCACTCAGTGTTTTGCCTGTGCTGATTGTCAGGGACTATTGCATCAAAGTGCCCCAAGATATCAGCAAACTGCCCATATTTAAGACAAGCTTTTGCAGTTTGATAACAGATACTCTGGATGATAACTTCCACCACAGCTTCAGGGGGCAGCTTTCTAACTCAGGTGCCCTTATGTTACCCTACAGAACAGCACTCTCTACCTGCAGGCTCTACAGCTGGCTCAGCAACCTGGAGAAGATGAGTGCATGCAAATAGAAGGGAAAGGTGCATCAGTAGAACAAGAACATAATTGCACTAAGTCAGAGACTTTTTACTTTGGGTTTTGGGTTGGTTTTGTTTTTGACAAGTTTCAATGTCACCCTGCTGGCTGAGAATTGAACATAGTCTGAGGAGCTATGTTCCCTTACAAATTCTGTAAAATGCAAGTTCAAAAATGAAAATCATAGAAGATTTTATTTTTAGCCAAAAAAGACAATAAAATCTTTAAATCAGAAACCAGGAATTTAATTGCATAGTCTTTATCTGATGGTAAAACAGAAATAATTTACTGCATATAGTAGGGTTCATGAAAGTGACAGACTGACAACTCTGAGAAGTGAAGCCTTTTATGGACTGGTACAATATGGGAAGAAACTACATTGCTTTTCCCATAATGTTCTGCCACCATGCATTATGATGAAGGTAGCTCAGTCTTCCAGCCAATTGGTTCACAACCTGGGAGTTGTTGGAAGGTGTATGGAGGGGACCACTTGTGAATTACCTCTACTACATTGAATTCAGCTGGGAGAAAAGGGGGTGGGGAAACGGGAATTCAGTGACTTATTTCTGTTGTAATGCTCAACCACACTACAAAAAACAGCCCACCCTTGCTATGTGCTGAATTAACCAAAAAAAATGTCTCAAACTGTTGTTTCTCCTGAAACCAGAACCAAATCAGTACTGTTGTGTGGAAAATTTTGAGCAACCCAAGGTGGAACTCCATAAAAAAATATGCTTTCCAGTATCCAGTTCAAAATAACCATTTGACCAAAAGCTGATACTCCTGTGCGGGAATTACTCAGCCCAGCACAAGGGATGTTTGCTTTCTGAACCAGAGCCATATCATAGCCTCCTCCTACTCGCTCTTTTCCATTTCTGCCTTGCAACAGAGCTCATCCATGGATGATGCTCAGACCCTCCCTTCCACTCTGTGACTCTGTGCTAGTGTCCAGTGCTGTTCTCCATAGTAGAGGGAAAAGAGTTTAACACAGGAACTTTGCATCTTCCCAGTGTAAACCATATTTTTAACTCCTAACAGAAGATCACCAACTCCTTTTTCCCTTTGATTTGTCCTTTTAGATCTTCCATAGCAGGTATTTGAGTGGTACTTGTCTTTCCATTCCATCCATTGCATCTCATCAGTCTGGCTTCCCCAGCAACCTTCTGGCGTCCTTCACTGTTAAGAGATGAACTTATTTTTGGGGTTTTTTTTGGGTTTTGTTTGTTTGTTTTTGTATCTCTCCATTGTCAGTGCAAAATTTACTACAGCTACACAGTCTTTAGTACTTCCCACCCACAAACTCTCCTTCCACACACTGGCCTTTCTCATGTTCCTTAGTGCATGGCAAGAGCGTGCCTGATACAGGCAACTTGAGGCAAGCCATGGTCTAGCATGGGAAATACTGGGAATTGGACAGATGATCCTCTCCCCAGCTTCCATGTCTCCCTGTGAGTTCTCTCAGTCAGGCAACTGTTTCAGTTTCCAGATGTTGAGGTAAAACAACTCAAGCAAGCCTGAGGTCACTAAAAAAAAAAACAACAAACAAAAAACCCACACTGTTTTTTTTTTAACTGATCCAGAACAATCATCATTGAATCAGAAGTGATTCTAAAAGTTACTGTTTCAATATTTCTCTTTGGTACTTATATGTAATTATCAATGTTTGAGTTTTCAGAAATTATATTTTTTTCTATGGTCTCTGGTTTAGACAAGAAAGAGGAAGAGTTGAGGGGGAAGGAGTGATGTAGTCAAGTTCACACACCTAATATCTTTGACAGAGGCAAGAATTCAAAAGAACTCTTCAGCCTAAGATTCAGTTCCTTATACCCAAGACCCATTCTTCCCCAAGGCTACCTTCTTTTGTGTATGTTAGGTTTTCAATAACAGAACAGTGATTTTTTTGTGTTGCTTTTTCCACCCCAGAGTCCTACCAAAATTTTTTACTTGTAGCTGAAAATGGAATGCCTGAAAATATTTGGATGGTTGTCTGAATAGTTATTAGTAAAAGTAATTCTAATAACTGTCTATATTATCTTTTTTTAAAAAAAATTATCATCAAGATACAGGACATTTTGGTTCTCTGGGAAGATAATGTAAGAAAAATCAGCAGAATCAAATTTCTTTTATTGTGCTTTGCTTTTAACAACTCATTTGGCATAAAAGTAGTAAGAAAGTTGTGTAAAAGCAGTTATGATAGTGTGTTTTGCATCTCAGTGCCTAAGCACTAGTTCTAATGCAAACTTTCTTTGCAACCATTATGAATGAATTAGTGGTAGACTTATGTTCTGCCACACAACTGGCTTCATTTCGGACATATCATCACAATGCATAATCTGGATAAGTCATGAACAGGACAGAGGAAATGAAGACAAGGAAAGAGAACAGCATCTCCAAGTGTATGTTTGGAGCCTTTATGTCAAGGTGAAGTGATGGTCATGTTGGCCCTATATTCAGTGCTCAAGATGACCTGCAAAAAGGGGAGGAGGAGGATGTTAAGCTTCATGCCAACATCTGTCAATCCTTACTTAATTACCATCTGTCTCCCTACAACTTCCTTGTGAGGACAAGACAGCTTTTGCGCAGCAAGGGGAAAGAAAGACAACACTGACTTCTGTAGCTATGCGGACTCACTACTTAGTGTCGCTAAGAAAGAAAAATGTGCACCTTCTTTTTAGAAATGTTATTTCCTGGCTTGAAGCCAGTTGCAACCTATTGCATCCCCAGCATCATCTTCTTGAGTCAAATTAGTCCCTTCATCTGAAAAAAAGTGAACAAGCTCTTTTTATTGGCTTGGAACTGGAGGAGAAAAAAAGATCTAAAATCAACAGCAAATCTAAAATATTTTTGTTGCTCCAGGAGCCACACACACTCTCCAAAAGCACCTCTTAACTAGAAAATACCTAAGAATGTATTTCCCATGCTTTTGTAAAAAGTACCCTTTTTTGGTAAAGTGTACTGCATATTTCTAAATTCGCTTCTATAAAAAACACCATTTTAAACGTAATGTATCACCTGAGGAGAAACAGTTCCTATGCAGGTCAAGTGTGGGAGAATAATCAGCTGGCAAGTGCCAAGAGTTTGTGTTCTCCTGTTTCTCCTCCTGTTCACCCCCTTTTTTATAAAGACATGGAACTACAACTATATAAGCAAGCTGTGTGTGCTAAAACATACAACTAGAGAGAAATAGAACTTGCCATTTTGCCCATTTGAAAAGTTTGGCTACCTTAGTCATAAAAGTGTAACCTGTACATATACACACACAAAAACTCCTATTTATTCAGTGACTGAAATATGAAGGTTTTGTTCATTATTTATTTGCAAATACTCTTTGCTCTGTCA